AAAGGCCGAGCTAAGTTAGGTAGCTTCCCTTGTTAGTTGCACCTTATATAACTGAAAAAGACTTGTCACAGAGACTTTAGAAAAAATGCTTTATTTCCAAGACATTCACGAAAGCACGGATGGAATATGGACTGGATAGTAGAACATGTAAATCCATTCGTGCTTCGTTTTATCCAAGCGGTACATCCCATGTTGAGGGATCCAAGAGTACATATTGTAGCAAATATCTTTCCGATCGTGCACGTTTCTAAACGTCGTCAAACTTTTCACCAATGATGTTGATTTATAAAGTGAGCGCTTACATCACTGTCTTTCCATCGAGTTTTACCATGACATGACCTGGTAGAAATGGAGCCTCATGAAAAATCGTATCGTCTATATCCGTGTGCTTATCCTCAGACTGTAGGTAAATGTACATCAAGGAATATTTTGCATCTTTTGAACAGCACCTCGTGCCACTTCATGGTGCTTTCCGTGTAGTAATAAAATATACCATCATCGTACGTAAGTTTTTTTGCACGAACATGTAAGACGATGTGATACTCTGATGTTGCTTCCCATCTAAGGACTGGGCTGTCAGAACTCATTGTCTAAAACCATCCATTATTAACAGTTGACGAGTCAAAAGTTTTATATCTGTCCCTTGTGGACAGTATACGCCCGGCTGGATGCACTCGTTCAAGCGCGAAGAATAAATATGCAAAGTGGGCGGAGCAGCTCCGATCCTTGGGAAGCTCCGCCCACTTGCCGATAATGCTAGTATTTTTTTCAGTGCTCTTGCCAGATATTCATTACACACCCTATGGCCATGTGCTGTGTACGTATGCGACACCGTTATCCCATCCTTCAGTAAGCTCTTGCCCACGGGCATCCTAAACATTTTAGAATGTAGATTTCAAAAATCAGTTTTGCAGAATGTTGTCGGCTAACATTCCACCGCTAAGAATTATGCCCTTCTTGTCCGTTTCGAAAATAGAAATAAAATCGATGATCAGCTTATCGCTCGACTCTGTGTGCTCGTTGCAGTTTCCTCGTCCAGAGGGCTTGATCGTAACCTGAAAGCACTTGGTACGGTATTTAAGGTTAGTACAATCCGATGTACCTCCATCTTAATTCCATAGGTGCTTGCAACGCAAAGTGTAAGCGTGATTGTGATCGTGAACAACTTGAACATCTTCTCGAAGGTCAGCCGTGATATGCTTCAAAGAATGTTGATACAGTCGTTTGCTTCTTCGTAGTAGGCAGATGTAATAGCAGAAATGCGATCACGACACTTCGGTGTGGAGCACTTGAACTGAAATGAACATCACGATTGGATCGTTTAGCCATTGTGTTTTCGTATAGCTCGTTATCATCCCTATGTTGGGTAAGCACGTTGCTACCTCACAACAAGTGGGGTTGAGTCAGGCTGATTACTCAACGGTGAGTTCGAAATG